GAAGGATTTGAATAACGTCGTTAGCTTATTTCTCCGTGTTTAGGAGAGGATGTTGTTCAAAGCACTTCTCTACATGGGTCTCAGAGCAGCCGTGTATGGGTAGCACACCTACCCCAAAGGGTGCCGTAGGGGCAGAGCTAAACCGCTAATTAGATGGGCCTCAAATCATCTCCAGAAACAAGCCTGAACTTTGAAAAAGTCATAGACTCATAGAAAATTAAGGTTGGAAGGGACCTCAGGAAATCATGTAGTCCACTGGAAGCTTTAATAATGCCCACAACTGCATTAATTACATACACTAGCACTGTCTGCACTGCACAGCTCTTTGAGATGAAGCCAAATCAAAGAAGTTCACTTTAGTTATCCCTCCACTTCGTCACTCATTGCCACAAGGCAGGGCGGCTCAGCCTAATGTTTAACCTGAAATTACAGGGCAACTTATTCACAAGAACACCCTTCGTGTTAGAGCTGGAAGGACCAAAATTAATGTTGCGTTTCAGCCCCGGGTTGTAAGCCTCGGTGACAATCTAGTAATGGATGTAGAACAAACCTGTATCGGCTGTTTTGATGCAAACAAAGCAAATGTGAAAAGAATTTTCCATCCATGCTTTTGCTCTCCCAATTATATGCATCTGCCCTAGGTGCCTAAGCTACATTTATCAAAGCCATGCAGACCTTTGGTTCCCAGGCTTCTTGTGCTCAATTTTATTTGAGCAAAAGCCATGCTTGTGCCATTTGAGCACAGATATTCTTTACTCATTTAGCACGAACACCTGAGGCTGCAACTAGTAGAAGGGGAGTCTCAAACTCATGGTGTTTACTGTCCCATCATGCTCTCATGGCTGGACCTTGTGTTTCATCAGGGTTTACGTGCTAATGTGGGCAGATCAGCAGCCCCATCAAGGTGGGGGCTAGATCCTGTTGTACCAAAAGATAGCACTTGGGAGAGTCTGGATCCCCTTAGGCAGATAATGGCACTGAGCCTGGGTCTCCCACGTGTGATCTAGGCTGTAGGCTATGGTGTAAAAGAAGGGTAGTGCCAGCACCAACCCTATAGCATCGTACAAGCAAGCAGTGAGCCCACCCTGATTTTTAAACCTCAATGGGAGGTCCTCACCTTCGGGCGTGTATTTGGGGCCAAGAGCCTAGAGAAGTTTTCCCACCGCCCTGCGTCACAGAGCCAAGCTCTTGAGAAAGGACAGTATGGCCAACACATCTGTTGCATATCGGGTCCCACCGGCTCCCTGCTTACTGCATGGGCTTGCTCTTTTGAGATGCTCTCCCCATGCATGGCACAGGGAGCCTACTTGCCTAACTCAGCACCAAAATTGTAGCTGCCTAATTCTCTCTCTCCCAAAAGCAGTAATGACAGGATCCCAAACCCTTGCAATCCATTGGGTGTTCTTCCATCAACAGTAGCTATCTCCAGGTCTGGCCTTGATGGGATGCTTCCCCTCTTCCTCTAGCTGTTGTAACTCAGTGCATATCATCCAGGCAGTAAACTCATAGTCCTGCTGAGCTCACAGGCAGTAATTTAAGCTGTATATTTAAAGCTTGCAATTAAAGAATTTTTGTTTGCAAAAATCTAGTCGGTCTAATAAAAGATATCACATCTACCACAAGTCCTGATTACTTTTTCCTCTAGACCACCATATGGTCATAAATCACCATATGGTGACTGCCTGGATAAATGACACATGGAAGATATTGAATTTTAGGCCATTTTTTAAAATGAAATCTTCATAATTTTACAAGCAACTTTGAGCACCTGACACCTGAGATCCTGCTCCTGCCTTTGTTTGAAGTAATTTTCATCTTCACAACAGAGACACCTCACCAGATAAGAAATTCCTGCCCAGAGGAGCATCCCATCCATTTACTCCTCTGTGAAATATGAACCACCATCGCCAGAAGGAAATATGAAGACATCCTGCTCACCAGCAAACAACTTGGAGGTAAACGGACTATTCCAACTTTTCTCTGAGCCGAATCTGCATAACAAATGAACTTTCCAAAGAGATTTTACCACCTTCAACTCTCCCATGAAATATGAACTTTCATTTCTACCCAGGAGAACTGTTACAATCTTTTCTTCAATGCCTGATGAAGGGCGTCAGTGCCTGGAAGCTTGCAATTAAAGAATTTTTGTTGTTTTGCAAAAGTCTAGTTGGTCTAATACAAGATATCACCTCTACCACGAGTCCATGTAAAGATAAAGCGTTCAAGGCCCGTCACCAACAAAGGAGGAAAGTGAAGCCAATAGCAAACCCCTGGGACTTCTGAGGACACGGTCTTCTTCAGCCTGTGGACGCCTAATTGCGCTAGGTGCCGGCAAATGGACAGCACTGTGTCAGCACGGCACTGGGACTTGCCGAAGGAGCCTTTGAATGGCTCTCAGAGCATCTGAACACTTGTAAAGTGCTGTCCTTACACTAATCAGCATTTAGCTCCTGGCAGCGGAGTGTGTTGGAGCAAACCGGTGTTCGTTCCCCTACCATCGTTCTGCGTCACGAGGAGCCACTGGATAATTTATGCCACGGCCTGGGGGCTCGTTTCTAGAGAAGTTTAAAAGGTCCAATCCGCCCACCGGGGAATAACACAGAGCTGCAAACAAGCTCCTACCCTACCCGGGCCCCGTGCATCGATAATGTGGGAACCCAGAGCTTCGCGTTTCACCTTGCTAATCTCAGAAATCGGAGGCCTGTGTTTGACGGTGTTCCAGGTAACCAGCCCTTGTCTTGAGATCCGACTTGACTGTTATGGTTCTGTCGGGAAGGAGGCTTGGATAAGCAGAGTCCTTTAAAATGTTTACCTTTTTTAGAAGCTCGCCAAGTTGTTGGGATTTTATATGTTTAGCTCCGCCTAATACGTGAGCAATGTTTCTTCTTGTAAACTAGCCTATATTGCTGTTGAGGTAAGGGAGTTTTTCTCTGGCTGAACTGGGGAGATAGACAGATAGATATTGATATTGATATAGATAGACATTGATACAGATGGACATTGATATAAATAAATAGATAAATATTGATATAGATAGATATTGATATATCGATAGACATTGATCCAGATGGACATTGATCTAGATAGATAAATATTAATATAGATAGATATTGATCTATCAATAGACATTGATACAGATGCACATTGATATAGGTAGATAAATATTGTTATAGATAGATACTGATATATCGATAGACATTGATCCAGATGGACATTGATCTAGATAGATATTGATATAGATAGATATTGATATATCAATAGACATTGATACAATTGCACATTGATATAGGTAGATAAATATTGTTATAGATAGATACTGATATATCAATAGACATTGATACAGATGGACATTGATCTAGATAGATAAATATTAATATAGATAGATATTGATATATTGATAGACATTGATACAGATGGACATTGATCTATATAGATAAATATTGATATAGCTAGATATTGATATGTTGATAGACATTGATACAGATGGACATTGATATAGATAGATATTGATATAGATATTGATATATAGATAGTGATATAGATAGGTATTGATATTGAGATAGATAGATAGATAGTTTTTACATGCATACATTACTAACTAGCTAGCTAGGTCATTCATTTAGAAGGTGCCAATCACCGTGTATCCAGGCAATGCCTGGCATCACTAGAGTATTGCTAACAAAGTGCGATAGCAGTAAATACTTAAGGAATGTAAAATATAAGCTAATGGCCTCCATTCATCCTTTAAAAAATAATTCTCAGAGCCACGTTTAATCCTGGCAATAAACTGTCTGTGGTTTGACCTGCTATCCTAGCAATCAGCAGAAGTGAGGAAAACAATGAAAATATTCTGCACCCGTGTGTATGTGAGACATAGCAAACGAGTGTCATTTACACAAGGACAAGTCTGGAAAAAGTTCATTGTGAATTCTCGATCTCTTCCTTTGTTCCAAGCTTCTTTTTAAACCATCCGTGAAATTTCATAGATAATGCTTTATCCGTGGGATTCATTCTACCTAAGGACTTTTGTGAACGCTGGAGATGGAGCCTGCCCCTATTGAAATAAATGACAAAGCAATCAGGATTGGGCCCAGGATAGAGATTTTCAGGATGATTTTTTGCTGCTTAAAGTGCTGCTAGCATTGTACAACAAAGCCCTTAAAAATGATCCCTGTTCATTAGAAATACAACACGGGGTCTGTCCATGCAAACGCTTGTTCCTTATACAAAAGGGATTTTAATTTGCCTCGGAGGAGGACAGAAATCTATAGGTATGTCAGATGCATGCAAAATGAACTATAAAGTGCATTAATTATCTGCAAATTGTAAAATAATACTTTTATCTGAGAAGCACATTTCTTCCACATTTTATTTGCCCTCTGCCGTTACATTATTGCATTTCTCTATTGGGTTTAATGTTTTCTGTAGCGGAGCTGGGGAAACGTCAAAACATTTCCACTGAGATTCACTTGAGATTTTAAATGGATTTGATTCAGTTTGCGCTCGTGAGACGCTTTGCCCATTTTCCACAATTAAGCTTGGAAATGGAGATAGCAGCCGAAATGCGTGCTAGAACAATTATTTTTTTAAGCAAATAATGGAAAATATTCTATAAACATGTTCCAGATTCATCACTGCAAATATTCATGCTGGCACCTGACTCGAAGAGTTAAACGCACCTGGGATCATGCAAAAAACTTTGTGTGCCGTCTCCAGGTGTAGCAAAGACACCTCCAATTATGAATAGCAAACAGTCTCAATTAGCTGCTTGTTCGGTGGGCTGCAGACCAAGAATTATTCCCAGAAATTATTCAGCAACCATTTATTTAATAACAAAATAATTCCACTCTCCTAAATGTGTCTGTTAGACTCGTTTGTATCTGGGATTTCAACCTATCACTCGTTACCGAGTGTGGCAGTGCACTGGGTGTGCCTGCCACTTTAAGGGCCTG